TTTTTTCATTTTAGGAAGTAAGAACCATATGAAGATGCTCATGAGCCATGCTTAGTAATATTTAACCCTAGTGGACATAGAATAAGACAGGGAAAATATAAGTCCCTTGATATTTTTTACATCATATAATTATGAATGGAAGGGTGTTTTTTATATTTAGAATATATTTAGCATTTTTGATGCTTTAGTTTAACTTGCATTGGGATGAAGAGGTAACAGGTTTTTGGACATTTTTGGACATTGTCCTGAAATGCGCACCTAGCAGAAAATGGGCTTGCAATAACATATCAGGAAACTCACATGCGGTGAGGAAGGAATGTCATTTCTTTAAACATTTTTATGAAAATAAGAAACAGGTTGCAACTTACCTGTTTGCTTCCCCTGTGCACTTACTTTTGTTCCTGGAACCTTTATATGACTTGTATTTACCACTATACTACAAGCTCCTTCAAGAACAATCCTACCAGAAGGATTCTTCCTTAGGGTATCGGAGTCAAGTTCCTCACATTTTCTCCTGTGTGCATAAGAGCAGATGTGGGTACAGCAGGCAGATCTCAGATTAGGTTCAGGATTTGACACCATGGAGAAGAGTTAGAAACAATTACTTGAATAGTATAACAGGTATAGGGACATTTAGTAATCTCAGCCTTATTCAATCAACTCAAATTCAAACAGAAGTTGCAAAAACTATTGTGAATTATGATATGGCTTATCTACCATACTACCTATGAATAGATATATTCACTAAGAGTTAGCTCACCTCTTAAAGGAGAACTATGGGGGTCAGTGTTTTCCCCATAGTTCTCCTTAGGGTAACGGGAGGACACAAACTAGCGTCCTCCTGTTACCCTAAGCTCAGTATACCGCGAGCTACAGCTCGCGGTATACTGAGATGCCGCAGCAAGAGCGGATCCCGACGTATATGTCGGGATCCGCCCAGCTGCGTGAGTGACAGCTGGCTCTGCCTATCTAGAGGCGGAGCCAGCTGTACCCGCCCCTTCCCCATCTGTTCTGCCAGTCAGCGCTGGAGGATAGGAGCGGGGAGGGGGGAATCCAATCCCTCCCCTGTCACGGCAGAGAGCCGTGACAGGATCGAGAGGTGAGCAAACCTGGTATGCGTTCGCTCACCTCCCGATCTACTGAGCCAACCTGTGACAGTCTCATTGTCACAGGTCGGCTAGAACTATGAGGTGAGTGGAAATCACTCATCTCATAGTTCTCCTTTAAGTTGTTGTTAGCAAAAGTGCAATGATTAGGAATCTTACTGTTACATTTACAGATTTTCCAGCCACAGTTGACACATATAGTAAGGAAACCCACCCGATCCCAGCATACTGACAAAATGCAAATTTTTAGCTCTCTATGAATCTTTATACTGTTACATACAGTTCAGTATGTTTGTAACTGCAACAGGCCAAATACACTGCCATAAGATATCATCTTCATTCATGAAAAATGATTCCCTGAAGTCTGCTGGTAATCTGACATGTCTGAGAGTATCGATCGCAGGGTCTCCTGCAACTCTTGCTGGTTATTCTTGTTGAATTCCATATAACTCTTGTCTCCTGCAATAATGTGGAGGTTAGCAGGAGAAACCAGTGAGAGCTGTGGGGGACCGAGGAGATCACTCCTCTCAGAGGTGTCAAATAGTCACTGGTCTTTGGGAGCCCATTTCTCATGAAAGAAGCATTTGGTGGTGCTGGCATCAGGGAAGGTAAGTACATTTATATTTGTCTTTTATGGAGTATGTTGTGATGGAAAATGTAAATAAATGTTATGATTTTATGAATGGGAACTATAGACTTGTCTGTTAAATGACAATAAATGACAAAAGCATTGAATGTAATTAATTTATTTAAAATTAACATACCAGTTTTGGTTCAATTTTGCCTGACTGGTACATCCAATAAAAACCTGACAGGATTTCCTTAGATACAAAATAGCTCTGGTGGAAATGCCAATCAAACATGTAGCTTTCCAAGTTTCAACATGGAAGCACTTCAACTGGCTTTAGCAAGTCCTCAACATTTCAAGTAAAAGGGGAGCTAAAAGATATAACTGAGCAAGATTGATTAACTAAAGAGGGTAGAGATTGTCCACTTTGAAAAGTGAACAATCAGTTAGTGTCATGAATATAGTGTTCCAGAAAAATGTACACCACAGCGCTCAGCAGACTCCCAATGATATTCTCCACCAATAATCGTTTGCAGGCTGCCGTCATCAAAAGGCCAATGGGAAGTATTCCTCACAAAACAAACAAACAGACAGCGCCTTGTCCTCGTGTAATACAGTTTATCAATCAATGAACATACAAGCTGACATAAAATACTACTCACATGGTAATCACTGAATGAATGGTACAAGGCAGAACCCACACAAAGCTGCCTTGCTAGCTGATGCTAGCTCTGAGGAAGGGGGTATATTCCACAAAACGCGTCAGCTGGCAATGCAGCTTTGTGTGGGGTCTGCCTTGTACCATTCATTCAGTATTTTATGTCATCTTGTATGTTCATTGATTTATGAATATAGTGCTGCTATATTCACTATAAATACCCAATCCTGTAGAAGGAAAATGAAGAAAAAAAAAGAATTTCTGTTTGTACATGATTTGATTATTGAAGCAAAACAGTTTCACCTTATTTAGTGAGCTACATAAACATTAATTTAATTCACATTCAATGGTCTACTTCTTTAGTAATTCAACTCCTATGGGATTGATTTACTATAGGAAATAGGGGTGTTCACTTTGCAAGGCAATTTGAACATTGCATATGAAGTTTCCCCTTGGATTAGTGAAGGAGTTAAAGCTCTGCTGACTTCCATCACCCAATTACATGTAAGCAAGCATGCTGTTTTTTTATATTGTTAGCATGTGAGTGGGCTTTCTTTGCAAAGTGAAATTTCACCATATTTACCAAGCTAAGGAAAACTTCCTCTGCAATGTAAAAATTCCCCTGCAAAGGTAACAGCATATTTGCCTTTAGTAAATCAACCCCATTGTCTCTACCTGCATACCATCTTTACATATCCAGCTAAAGCTGATTAAGACATTGACATTTATGTACTAAATGAGTGGTAAATATTCACTTAGAAATTGTAATGTTTACTCAAACTAGTTTATGGTCACTTTGGCAAAGTGATGACTTTGCAAAGTGAATGTTCACTTAACTTAAGCAAGAAAGTATATCTGTAAAAAACAAGTCAAGGCAACTGAACTTGCTGTATTTTTCTTGAAGACGTTTGACTGGTCATTCAACCAGCTTCCTCAATTCAGAATTGAGAAAGCTGGTTGGATGACCAGTCAAACGTCTTCAAGAAAAATACAGCAAGTCCAGTTGCCTTGACTTATTTTTTACAGATATACCATGACCTTGATGAATGAGAACCTTTACAGACTTAAGCAAGAAATGTAAAAATGTGTTCAGTTATGTGCAAGTATACTCCATTTTTAAAATATTTCTCTTGCATGTTATAAGACATGTGATAGGATAAATTAATAACCTATACCCCTTCAGTAAATTAACCCCATATTGTCAAGCAGTACAAAATATTTGAGTGCAATTCCAAATTCTAAGAAAGCTTTTGCTACATCATTGTGGTTGTTTTTTTTTTTAAGACTGCCTTATTAGCATCCCATAGTGATTCAAGAACAATGGCTTTGACTGTTTACCCCTTAAAGACTGCATACTAAAAAGTACAAATTAAAAAAATCTTCTTGTACATAATAAGGTGGAAAGCCAGTACTGGAAAATATTACAAAGTATTAATAATGTTTTATTGAAAATATTGCTTGGTTCATAAAAAATGAATGTGAAATTGTATATACAATATTTTTATTTCAAAATTACACTGGTGAATTGAAATGTAGAGTTCTGCTTCTTGAACAGAAAAGTTATGTCAGAGTACATAATGGAAGACTTCACAAGCTCCAGTCATTTAAAACACAAGCAATACTTAATAGCAAGTTGAAATGAAACTTTACAGGGATAAAATTTCAATCTTGACATTAAAAACAACCTTTAATGTGTTATAACAAAATAAATTACATTTTATGTGCATAAAACTAGATATGTGTAGAAACTAAAAATTTGTACACTCCCTGGAACTAATTCATTAGCTCAGTCTTTTAAGGGGTACACAGAGGTTACAAAAGGAAGTGGAAATAATCTATCTTGCTGTATATGTCTGATTTATATCCAGTTACTCAAGGTGAAAATGCATACTTTTATTTAACACAACAAAAAAAGACAGAATAGCTCCCCTTTACACTAAAATGTACAGATACAATATTAGGATGGGCAGTGATCATACCATACAGTAGTGAGCAGACAGAAAACTGTCAAGTCTGTACTCAACATTAGTGGAAGGGTATATCAAGTGTTTAGGTTTTAGTTCATTGTAAAGAAATTTGAATGAAAATTGACAGGATTATATAAAAATATTTCTGGTGATTCAGATTGCTGATGAGCCACATTTGAATCCTACGTATGATGATTAAGGGAATAAAAGACTTAATATACAAATAAAAGTGGCTGACGTAACTTCATCTTGTCACCAGCTTCTTACATTTTTATCAATTAATACTGTGACTTCAGGACAAATATGTACATGCCTGCATGCGTCAAAACTATAAAGGCGTTTTTAGAACCAACAGAGTGACAAAACATGTCTAAAATTATCTTCCTAAACACTAGTAGTCTACTGCATACATAATATCTTCCTCATGACCGTGTCTATGTACATGTGGCCTGCCATATTAATAAACAAAGTGTGTTTTTTTTCCTGAACCCAACAGCACTGAAGAAGTTCTATTGTTTGGTTGGTTGTGAAGGTAATCTCATGATCACAAAATAGAAAGTTTACATTCAGCAAAAGAGTTCTTCTTATTAAATACAGTAGTTCGGTTTCCAGGAGTAAGTGTTCTTCATTGTAGAATAAAAGTGTTCAGTTAAGAAGAAAACATGGTTAGCATTTAAAAACTTTCAGTTGCAGTTATGTGGTTTTCTTTATTTCTTGTTTTGCCATTTTAGTGCATGCCCTTTAAAAATTCTTCAATTTTAAAATTTTTCACATCTAAGCATTGTTGCTGGTTTAGGTGTGATAAAATGTGTCAGATACCCAAGTAGCTGCTGTTGGAAGGATCTGGTGTGCTCAGTAAGAGAAATGTCAGACAAGTTCCATAAAAAATGAAGTACAGTGGGTCTTGTTTGTTGATCATCACAGTCTTTTCATTGCAGCAGCATCTCGGAGGAAATCCAACAAATGGAGCGCTACTGACACAGTTATAAAACAGACTCTCCAGTAGTCACAGGTCTCCAGCCTGACAATGTAGGGTACTTGAAGAACATTGCTATACAAAAAGGAACTCTTTTATGCTTTCAAAGCATTCACAGACTTCGGATTTTTCAATTAGTCTACAGTATGTTCCTACAAGGCCTTTTGATGTTGTATCTCTAAATTCAGTACATAACACTCGTCTTTAAATACAGTCTGCCATCTGGAAAGAAAAAAAAAGAATAGAGTTAAATACATATTAGAAAACTGCCATGGCATCTTTTGTTATGACACGTTTCTGTTATTGGTCTGTTATTGGTCCAATCAGAGACATTCTTTTAATTTTAGACTTTACTTTCGATGTTGGCTTTTTTGTAAAAATATACAAACATACAGCATACATATCTTTAGCAGTTTTGCTTTCTGCTTAATGCTGAACTCCAGGCAGATATAAATGACACACATTAATGCAATTCTGTATTCATTAACACATCATTACAAATTATTTTTTTTCAAATGCAAGCCATGTAAGTATGTCAATCTGACCATGCATCAGCCTCTTCTAGTCCCTGTACAGCAGAGCTCAGAGTAGGGGAGGAAGCAGCACAAGAAGCCAATCAGTTCAAGTACTGGCAAAAAACATGCTGGTAAACTGAGATAACAGAATGACAGAGAGATGAAGTCATCCCTGTGCTGCTTCTACTTGCAATGTCTAGTCACAGGTTGGGCCGGGTCCAGGGTAACTCAGGCTTAAAGGAAGTGGGTTGAATGATGCTGGCCATTAGACTGAGGACATCTAGTGGCAGCCAAAATTGCTCTGGAGTAAAGGTGAATATTGTAGCAAAATCCAGTTTTGGCAATTTTTGGTCAGAGTTCTGCTTTATTTAGATAGTTTTGTGTAAAAAATCATCAGATCAACCAGTCCAACAAAGTTATGCACGTTTTTATCATTACTTCAAGAGTATGTAAAGCCTTCTTTAATTCAGCATAGGGCAGTTGCTACAAATTGGGGGCTCATGGAGCAGCCTAGTACTCATGGGTCCTCTTTTACCATCCAGAGCCCCAAGAAGGAGGAGCAGACAACTGTTACTTTAAGGGATCTACTAATGCTTTTGTAAAAATACTAAAACTACTACTACCTATATAATTGTGAAATGGTAAGCAGCCCAACCGAGCCCTTTATAAGTTTATCTGGAAAGTGAGTTAACTTCCAAGGAATCCCCATTCCAATATGTACATCATTTCTGTGACAAAGGTAACACAGAAGACTGCTTATTGCCAGTGGGATAGTGTTTTTAACAAAAAAAATGAGTTAGCATAATGTTACATGCAATCTGCAAATCAACCCAATTCAGATCAGATTTCAAAACTGTTGATTAGTTAAAAAAAAAAATGAATAAATGGATCTGGCATCAAAGCATTTCTATTTAAGGACTCTAGATGTGTGTTTCTGTTCCCACATCTGACTCCGCAATTACATGAATATATTTACAATGCATCAGGAGAAGAAACATCTGCAGGAAGAATGAGATTCAAAAATGGAATGGAACAACAGAGAAAGCAGATAAATCAACATAACAGATAACACCAATAACTAACATATATCATGTAGGTGAACCAAACCTTTGAAATAAAGGCAATACAGAGGAGAGCAATGTTTTTCAATAGATAGCCGAAACCCTGTCCAGTAAGATCATTAAACAATGTGGCACCAATTAAATGACTTGCAAACAAGCTTCAACAATAGCTAGCAATTATTGTAAAATATAGGCTGAACAAAATAATGTGCAATGAAAAATTCACAGCTTGTATTAAGGCACTAAGCCGCAGGAAAAAAAAGGATTAAAAAAGAACTCTGAACATAT